TATCAGCTCTAAGACGTATTCTAGCGGGGACTACAACCTGACTTAACGAAACGTCAACTGATTTTGGTTGGAAGAAAGGGATTTGATGACAGTTTTCGAATGCTTCGAATTCCCAAACAGTTAAAGCAATCGATGAGACTTCTAGAACACGATTTCTAGCAATAGAAATCTCGCTCGGTAACTAAAGCAACATAAAAACGAAATAAGATAATTTCGAGTTCTGCAAGTTGTTTACTATAATTAGTTTTTATCATGTTTGCTATGTGATTCCCATAATTTTGTTGGAGGGCTATCAGTCGAAATGTGGGGCTTTCATAAGTGATAAGTGCTTACGCGCCTACAATATATGTATATTCAGATAACGATCCCAACCATCCATCCATCCATCCATCCATCCATCTATCCCGCATAGCACACAACAGTTGTCGTATGTTCCAGTTAGCGTATCAATAAAGCGATTACTCAACTTGACATTTGCGTCAGCCTTTTGGAACATTGGCATTGTCTCTCTGCCGATAGATGGGCCTACCAAATAGGCCCCAGACATGGACTTGACTTTAGGGTATATACATATATGTATATATACATAGATGATAGGGGCTATTTTAAACAAGTTTCGCTTGTGCTGCGCACTTTTTGGCCAAATTCGAATATAAATAATCCATCTATAATTAACTGCAATTGGATGAAAATAGATGAAAAAATCGAAAGATAATTTAAACAAACAATCTCATTTAATGGGCTTTACTTGAATGGGCTTTGAATCAAAGGAAATTAATAATTGATATTTATGTATTTACGACTTTTGATTGCAAACATCAATATTGAATATTTTTCTTCTTCTAATCTTAACTCGATTCATGCGCTACACCCACAACAGGTGAGTTGCTCTGGCCTCTTGGATGACGTGGTGAGGTGGGTAAGGGGATGTTGGTGGGGAAGGGGGGGGGGGGGGGCAGTCGTCAGGCAAGGGGCGCAGCTACAGCTACAGCTATTTCCATTACTCATACGAGACGTTGTTCAATTGACGTTGGATAATAAAACACTTAAAGCTAAACGATGTTGGTGTCGATAGACCATTATCCCCCTGCCCTAGCCCCGCCCACCCCCGCTCTGCATACGCTCTGCATGCATGCTTGTATACCCTGCAATCATATTATGTGCGCAAATGGGGTATCATAAAGCTGGGCACATGTTTGTAACAGGCGGCATATCAAGAGCTGCCACGATCCGGCCATGTTCCGTTTGAGCTCAGGAACCATAAGGTCTGGAGCCCAGGAAATTTGGTATGCAGCTACCTATAGAGTTTTCCATGCACGAACCTACCTATCGTTCCTCTGTCAGCTTCAAGATATAGTTGCCCGATGTTGATATGATTTTGCATATATATGAGGCGCATGTTGAAACTTATAAATGCCGAGGTTGGGTGAGATATGGGGATAAACAAAAAAGTTTTCCGTACAAGAACCTACTGCTCGACCGATCGTTCCTATTGCAGCTATATGATATAGTGCTCCGAATCATCTGGTTCCGATATATTTACTGTCTGCAACAGAAAGAAGGACCTATGCAGAGTATCAAGAGCTTAGCTCTACAACTGAGAGAATAGTTCGCATAGAAACAGACAGACAGAGTGACGGATGGACATGTCTCTATCAACTCGGCTGTTGAAGCTGCTCTAGAATATATATACTTTACGGGATCGCAGATGTCTTCTTTTATGCTTTACACATTTTATGACAAAACTATAATACGCTCTACAAAGGTATAAGAACTACTCCCCCTAGCTGCGGCTTATATTAGCCGCCGATCTAAAATACTTGGCTGGTCAGTCCAACTGATCGAACTCAGCAACTAGAAGAGCCAGGAAATTCGGTGCTTAGCTTTACCTAGAGCTATGCGGATTACACTTAAGTCTACAGTCCACATAAAGCATATGCTATATCCATCCATCCATATGCGTCTAACTGTACGAGCTCGGCAACTAGAAGAGTTATAGACTGCAAATTAGGTATATAGCCTATGCAGGGTATATTTATTCAAAATATATCAAAACTTCACGAGCTAATCAAAGTTCTTTGATGAAAAGCTGGGCTAAGACCTATTTAGATTGGTTCAGTTGTGAACTAATTACTATTACAGGGTATCTCGCGGACGAAGACACTGTCGCGTAGACAGTTCTAATTGCGACTTTTATGCGAATTTGATGATGTGTGATATATGTCACGCAATTAAATGACAGCACACAAGTACAGGGTATATACCAAGAAAAACTATTATGCAAATGTTTTATGGGCCCATAAACTGCAAATGCAACTGCAAAAGGAAAACAAAAAACTTGAAGAGCCATAGAGGGAGAGGAGAGTAGCGGAGCGGAGGATTGAAGAGTTGGGAAAACTTGGGAGTTCGCAGTTCAAGTAAACGTAGATTGGATATTGCAATTGCAATTGCAATTGCAGTTGAAGGCAGGCAAATTAATTGCAGCTAATTACAAGCAACAGCCACAAGAAATGCCAATAGGGCGGGGGAAGAGGATGAGGTGGGGGGAGGAGGGGGGGGGGAGCCACACAGGGATTGCACAGTGGGACCACACGTGCTGTGGCACACTTTGGCCGCAGGCCGAAAACCCGGAAGATGATGCAGCTGAAACTCAGCTGCTGTCAGTTCGCTTGGTCTACGGGGAGAGAGAGGGGGGGGGGGGTAGGGGGAGCAGCAGCAGCAGCAGCAGCAGCAGCAGCAGCTAGAGAAATGCGTTGCATTGCGTTGATTAAACCAAGTTGCAACATTTGCCACATTGCAACAATAAATGCAGTTTCATTGAAGTTAATCAGCCATCAGCCCAGTCGAAGCCGGCGCCGATCTTGTCGACAATTTTGCATAAGCAACAAACGAAACAAATTAACAAATTGAATGAAGCATTGAGTGGAGTAGCCCCAGGCTATATATATATATACACCGAAAGAAATCCAAAAGCGATCTCAGTGTAAACCCAGCTGAGAGTTGAATTAGAGACTGACTGAATTAAGAATCTATAAAGTTGGTTCATGCTTCCAAAAAGCTGCTGATGAAATTTACCATGACGATTTAACCACATGATAAACTTAACAGCTACTACTACTACTACTGGGCCAAGGTCGTTCCTCTTTCTATAGCGCTAAATAGTTTCCAAAATTTAACATGAGCACTTAACCACAAGATAAGTTTAACAGGTTCCATTACTGGGCAAGTGTAGTTTCTCTTACTACAATGTTTAGTCGCAATGCCGACGATATGCAGATTTGATCTCAAGATAAAATCAACAGGCTCCACTACGGACACAGATAGCTAACAAAATATCTTCCCAAATTTAACACTTTCACTATCTACCATTAAGATTTATCCTTAGGATAATAACAACTATCAACTAATATTTTAATGGACAGCTAGAGTGTTTAAGTATTAACCTGAAAAGATGGGAATTCCTTTCCATATTTGCTTAAATTCTGCTGCTCAGGGTTGCCAGCTGGAGAAAAAAGTAATTAAAGTTTCTTGTTTTTGTTTTTCTCTCAGTGTATGTACAGGGTCAGCTGCTGCTCTGGCATCTTCTTTTTTTCCGCTTTTGCGAATGTTTGCGCTGCGGTTTCTTATAATTTTTATTGGAATTTATTGTGGATGAATGTGCATGCATATTTGTTGTACAAGTTGTTGCTGCTGCTGCATTAAGAGGAAGAGATGAAGCTACTCCGATAATGTCATTTGTGCTGTACGGGCATTCGTCTGCTCTTGTCTGCCATTTGAATTCAAATTGAAATTGAAATTGAAAATTTGTAAAATTGAAATGACTTTGTTGCAATGTCGTCCAATCAAATTCGCATTTCGCCAGGCGCCGCCATTGCCCTTGCAGCCCATGAAAATGTCCCCCCAACAATTTGCAATCAAACAGACGAAGCACGATGAGTGCCTGGGATAAATATATAAGTACATTTATCTTTTCCCAGCTCAAGCTGCAGTCAAATAGTTATGTTTGCATTGTGACCCATTGATCAGCCGTTACAAATAAGACTCTTACTCGTCGGTTCATTTCCAATTATTGTCGGCTTTGAAAGAGAATTTTAGATAACTGAATCGATCGATTGTCAGTCAAATCCTTTAAGTCTATCTAGCGATGTGCCTATCGATTTACCTATCTATATACCTATCGATTTTTTATCAATGTGCCTATCGATATGCTTATCGATCTGCCTATCGATCTAAGTTTCAATCTACGTTGATTGATTTACATACATATAAAGCCTTTCTATTTTTCTACCGACCTATCTGTCAGTATTTAAGCGCTATTAAACTGTCTGTAGATAAATTGATGTATCTAGATGTCAATCCTGAACCAATCGATAGATCTACATATCGATACATCAGTCGATGAGCCTATATATCGATATATTTACCTGCCAATCTGTCTATAGATATATTTTTTAACTGGTTTCCATTTATATTTATCTTTCTGCATGCTTATTTAAATCCTTCTATAGATCAATCTTTTAAAAAACAACAATACATCATATATCGATACATTTATTGTTCTGCATATCGTTATCGGTAGCTGTTTATAGATATTTCCATATGTATATATGACTTTTTTATATCTATAATCCCTCTTTCTATTCGCATATCGATCGATAGATAATCTGTTTAATCATAGAATACGGCATGAGTTACTGAAAACGCAATCTTAACTTCTGTGTTGCCTTGGGTCCAAGATTCGAGTACATAGTTTTAGTTTCGTATATTTACTTCCTTAAAAGTTTCACTCGAATTTTAACACTTCAGTCTCGAGTATTTTTTATTAGCGTAAGTCATTTTTTAATTCGATGGAAGTACTCATTAGACTCGAACTACTCCTTATCAGAATGTTGTTACTGTGTCTAGTCTACATCAATCTATGCCTTTCTACAACAACTTATCTTTTATATGCAGCTATGGATTCTTGCTAATAACACCTTTCTTCCTTATTATATTTGCAGCCCAGCATAATCGGCCTTCTGTATAGAGTCTACATACCTAAAAGTATCCACAAGTTGAAGTAAAGTAAGGCAAGTAACTCTGGTATTTATCCCATATCTATATAATATATGTATAACCCAGTATACACAACTGATTATGGTGATTGATTGATTGACTAACTCAACGTCTAACTGAAAGATTAACTGACTGACTAGCTGACTCACTGACTAGCTGAATGACTGACTGACCTATTAACTGACTGGCATACCGATTGACCGATTGACTGACTGACTAAATGACCGCCTGATTGACTGATTGACTTGTGGATTATCTAACTGACTAACTGACCAAAGACAGATTGACTGCCTGATTAGCTGACTGACTGATTAACTAACTGATTGACTAACTGACTGTCTAACTAGCTGACTGATTGACTTACTGATTGACTGACTGATAGACTGCTTGACTGATAGACTGACTTAATAATAGACTGACTGATAGACTGACTGTTAGACTGACTGACTGATAGGCTGACCGACTGAATGACTGACTGACTGATCGACTGACTGACTGATAAACTAATTGACTGGCTGATTGACTGACTGATAGACTGCCTGACTGATTGACTGACTGTCTAACCAACTGATTGACTAAGTCGAATGACTGCCTGACTGACGAAATAAATGAGTGAATGACAGACTAATTGACTGACTGATTGATGATCAACTGATCAACAGCTCAATTTTGTACAAAACCTACTTTATGTGATAAAGGTAAACACTTAGACAGTACTTTGGAGAATGCCTCCCACATGTGTGGTAATTTGTTGGGAATTGATTGTATACTCAAAATCATTTTCAAAGAACTGTGCTAAAGTTCATTGAAGACTTGCGAGTTCAAGGTGGAACGGGTGCATTCAACATTTGCCCGAGTCCTGTAAATGGGCGAAAATCGGAGAAAAAGAAAAATACTTTGGCCGGGCAACGACACCAGCCATGTAGAATATAAGTATAAAATTAAAAGCATTTCTTTGATTTCTTTTTTCTTTTTGTAAGCACATTCCTTTTGGCTCAATCAAATAATCTGCATCATCATTTGGCTTGCTGGTCAGTTATGGGCTAAGACTAAGACAATATCATCTGTTTAAACAAACCCCCCCCCCCCTTTCCTTCATCAAACCTAAGGCCCAAAGGCTGCGCGTTGACCCCAAAAACTGTTTATTGACACAAATCGTCAATAATAAATTCTCGATAAATGTGTTCAGGCTAAGCAATTGGCGGCGATCGTTGTTGCTGTTGCATGTCGATGGCCTTGCTGCCCCCCCCCCCCCCTGCCCCTCTCTTTGCCCGTTGCCCGTCAGAGAGTAGCTACGCATGCAAAAAAGAAAAAGTTTTTCCGCTTTTCCAGCGTTGATTGGCAGCGTACGTGCGGGCGTGCTGCGATCTGTGGCATGCCCCCCTTTATGTTAGGCTAGGGGCAGCAACCCCAGGGGAATGGAGGGGGGGGGGGGGGTGCAAACGTTGCATTGTTGTGCCGAGTGTCAATTATAAGACATGAGCCACGGCCCGAGGCAATAGTCGTGGCAAGGCGGCGGCCGGGGCCACAAGTCGGGCAATTGCTTTGGGCGTAATTTATGCATAGGCCAGGCAAATATTTGCACAGCTCAACAGCAGATGGCGAGGGGTGTCAAGTGAGGGGGGGGGGGGGGCGGGTGGGCAATCGATCAATCGATCGATCGATGGTCGAAACGATCTATCGATGCCAGCGAGCCATCGATCACTCGCAAAGTCGAGGAGTCGAACCGAACCTAAATAAATGTCAAATAAATAAAATGAACTGGTAACAAAAGAGGGGACGGAGAGGGGGGTGGGGGAGGGGGGATGGCTGGTAGGCAGGAGGCGCTGTTGGAGTCGAGAGGTGGGCGCTTGTCCACTTTCGAATGGAGGTGTAAATGTGGTCACTTTAATGAAAACAATAAATCTTAATCACTGGCAAAGCGAAGCGAAATGCGGTGCAATGCAAAATGAATTGCCAAGTGGCCGGTGGCAAGTGGCAAGTGGCCAGTGGCAAGTGGCAGCCAGGGTTGCCAGACTGGCCCGGCGCGAGCGAGAGACGGACAGCGAGAGAGGGACAGCTGCCAGCGGTCGTTCGCTCAATTAATAATTTATTGAATACAAATGCATTTACTGCAATTCAAAAGGCGAAACAATTTATGTCCTCACCAGTTACACGAGCTTGCCCCTGCCCCCGCATCGCCAGCCCCCGTCTCCTGCTCCTCATCACAAGTCAGCCCCGCCCCGCCCCGCCCCGCCCCGCCCCTTCGCGCAGCACAGCGGCCATTTGAAAGCTGAACGGAAAATTGAAACGGAAGCGCGAATTTTTGGATTAATTGAAATGAAAATAAACAAAAGTTAAAAGCAAACAAATCATTTGCATGAGCAAACATGATGGACGCGCAGATACCCTATGTGTGTCAAAGCTGGATCAAAGCGAATCAAAATACGCAGATACCCTAACTAGAGACAGTTGAGTGCAAAGTAAATAAATAATATCTAGATAAAGGGAAACCAAATTCTGAATAGCAAAAAACAATATAGGCATGCTGATACCCTGTAATAACTATTTCAACTTGCTATGACAGGAAGCAGCACATATTTTAAGAAGCAAATTTTAAATATTTTACTCATTGGAAGACAAATACCCTGTAAGCAGGCGAGCGGGAATAGGAGTGGTTGAGGTGCAGGGGATACCTCTTATTTCTTTAGGCTCGACATATACCAAAAATTGCCGTATAGGGGATACCTCTTATTTCTTCAAGCTCGAAACATTCCAAAAGGTTTAAGCACTTGATGCGTTTGAAAGCAGCTCAAAAAGAATCCAAGGTCTATCCGACTTTAACTTGATTGGATGGAAAACTTAGTATGTTTTTAGCATTCACTGGAAGAACATTGGCGTATATCTGTATCCAATGATAAGCCCAGCTCTTCAGCACGGGACAAGTAAGCCTGTTCTCGGCTTAAGTCGATCAGCTCGAAGGAAGATTGTCCTGTGGCATTCACACAGAGCTTTAAGCATCGGGCTAACCCGCATACAAAAGGACATCAGCACGTCTCGGGAGGCTCTCAACGAATGTCCATCGAATGTCAATCCCCGATCACGTTCTTGCTAAAGATGTCCAACCAAGCATCTGACTAGCTTGACTAGCAAATCCTTAAAACATGCCCAAGAACTCGCTGCCTTTGCAGTAGCCAACTCAGAGTCTCCTTCTCTTCATCTCGATCATAATGAATAAAGGTAAACAGGGGCAGGATATATCAATTATCCTTCGATCTACTGACCGTGTGTCGAAACAACCTGTCCGTAGCATACGTGCAGCAGTTACAGGGTATGCAAATATGCGAGACACCAAAGTTGAAATTAAGACTCACACGTAATTGCCTTCGAATGGGTGTGTCTCCCACTCACAACAGCCATGCGACAGAGAGTGGGGGAGAGGGAAGGGAGGGAAGGGAGGGAGGGGGGGTGACTGGTTGCCATCGCATCGCCGTCGCTGGCGTCATTGGCACTGACAAATAACTGAAGAGCCGCTGTCGGATCTGTGCAAGCTTGAGAAATGATCTGTCAGTTGACAATTATGCAATACATTTGCCACTTGCCACATGCCGCGCCCCCACCCCCCTCGCTCCACGCCCGCCCAATTGGCTGAGTTGCCGAAATGGCATTTGAATTTCGCCCATTGGCAAATGTGTGAAGCGATAAATATTCGCCAAGTGTTCACGTTAAATGCAATTTATCGATACGTTTCGATCATTTATCAATCACACTTGCCGCCTGAGAGCCAGAAAGAGAAGAACAAGAAGAACACACGCCCATAAATTGAACATTTACTTGGGCCAATGCATCCGTTCAATTAGCCAAATGAATTTATAGCGCCTGACAATTGCCAGCTGACAGCTCATCTAAAGCCGGCCACTAATCTTGAGGTTCGCAAAAGAAGACAACTTCCTCTCTATACCCATTTACTTATATGCGAGTGTTCTCTTCGTAACCCAACATCTCGTCCACTCTCATCAAATATCACAGATGACATGCTTAAGAGCTCGAGTAAAGATATATTACATATATCAGAAATTTAAGTTCCGTGTGTTATCCAAGAAGAACCAAGCCAAATTTGCCAAGTCTAGTTGCTATAGTTCCCGAGATCAGAGATTTGACAGCTATATGATGTGATAGATGATATATATGATATGTAAAGAAAAGCTCTATAACAACCATAACCCAAAGCTAGCGTCTCTGTTAAACAAGAGCTCTACAAATTAACTTTTTGGCTACAGTCAACAATTGAGGCATTTTTTGTTGATTCCATTTGATTTCCATTGTCGAAATATGCGCAGCTTGGGCGAACGCCAGCGGGAATAGAGCTTTGTTGTGGGCAGGAGCACAGCCAGGGGCCAGGAACGGCGCATTATGTGGACTTTACGTGATTTAGCTAACTAATTTGTGGGTGTGGCCAGAGGCTGGCCTCTCCAGCTGACCCCAGCACGCGCCCAGTCGTGTCGGCGGCAATGGCGACAATTGACATTCACCGGCGCAATTAATCATCATCAGCGACTGATTGACAAACGAATCACAAATAAATCAAAATTCAAAGCAACAACAACTGCGACGAGAGCCTTTGGCAACGGGCGCGTATAATGCAATCGCAATTGCAGTGTTTAAATAAGCTGGAAAAGCTCGCAGCGGAAAATACCCTATGTCCAATATGAATTTGGATTCCCATGGAAATTGGGCTGTGCTTCAATAAGATGCTTTAACATGTGTATGCCGATTACAATAAAGATGTTCAAAGCTATGCAGACTCTTAACTCATCCAGAAATTCAATTGCAACATCAAGTTAACATTAAAAGTCTTCTACGCCTAGATGGCAGCCTTTTATATTGTGTTTGCGTCAAGTTCGAAGGCATTGATCGACTTAAAGTTACCCTTTACCAGGCGCGTAGAAAAGATATTTGCATTTATGTACATATATGTATATATATATATATTTTTTTATGCTGAGGTATTTTTCCAGCGATGTGTAC